AACATGTTATATTGTGGGGTTTTTTTACAACTGTGACTAATGGTTGTGAAGTCAATTTAGATCAGCATAAAAATAATGCAATAAAACAGAAAAGAAAGAAAACATCAGAGTGCATCAAGTATAATGTAAATATTATGTTATAAAAACTTTGTTTCAATGATGAATATACCTACACTTATGGGTACACTGAACCACAACTTAAATATAAATCTCAGTGTAAATCATGGTCAAGAGTTTGTAAACGTTGCTCTATTATGATCTTTGTGTCATAAGAAGTTGTATAAGATACAACTGTCATCCTAGAAACCTTCCATTATTGAAGTACAATAAGTACACAGCTAAGTATAAACAAAATCCCATGGACATGCAAAGAAAGGAGATTGCATATCTGTTTGAGAGGTTAGGAAAAGTGGTTGAGATGAACCTTGGAAAATAATAAGCTTTGACAAGTAAAGGAGGAGGGAGGGTCTCTGAGTGGTGACATGTAAACTATCTTCAGGGAACACTGAGTAATCTAGGTGACAGCCTGGGATACACATGCATAAGGACTGACATAAGGCTAGGAGGGTAGTTGAAACTCCTCCTAGGGAAGCCAGAACAATGAGGTTGTCCTAAATTAGGGGCAGAAGAGAAGCTAAAATACATGGAGATCATCTTCAGGAAGTTTAAGTTAGCAAAGGCTTACAGGATGAAACACTGGGAAACTTTAGTTAGCCCCACAAGGACCTAAGTAAAGACAGATTTAGTAAGAAAGAAAGAAAGAAAAAGATTCCTTAGGGTATCTGGAGGTGAAGAAAGAATGAGAGGTAATGATGGAATCAAGATGGCTTGAATAATAATGACTGGCCTAGTTCAATGGGTCTCAACTACCTTAGAGTGAGAATTGAAATCGGGAATGCAGATAGATATCAGAATGATGAGGAATAAAATGTATTTTGAAAAAGTATAATTATTATACTTAATATTTTCATAATGAAAATTTCAAAAAGTGTCACTGTGTGAAATCCACTTGGGCATGGGGGCATGTACCCCATTTTAAAAGCTAAAAATCCCTAATCTCCAAGGTCTCTTCTAGTTCTAATTTCTTTTGGATGACTTTATTTTATGGATAAGTAAAGTATGGCTGAAAGAGTTGACATGGCTAATCAGTAGCAGAGCTGGAACTAGATCCTGAGCCTTATAAATTCCAGGCTAGTGTTCATTCCATGGCAGTATATATCTGTGATGGTTTCCATTTTACAAATGTAACAATTTAGCCAAGGAGAGATATAGCTGGAAAAGCTCACTAGTTGGATCCAGACATTCACTCTCTGTTGTGCTGCTTTCTGTCAGAGACTCCTGTTCTGATAGTTATTGTGGGAAACAGGAATATTAAAACCGGCAGGCCTTCCACCAGAGTCCTTTATTGGGGCAAATATTATTTTGACCATACCACACTACAAATCATGACCATATACAACTATAGGAACTCAAAGACAAGTATAGCAACTATTCTAAGATTTCCTCTCTATCAACCCCAAGTCATGTACACATTTACAGGTTCTCAAACTTAGGGTTTGTTTCCAATTTTATATTTGTCTATTAATGTGTTGATCTTTTCCATTAATAAGTTTCCTTGGGTCTTTCCTAAGTGTACATTTTGTAAACTTTGAGAAAATTTATGAAAATGAAAGAGCATTTTCCCTCAGTAATGTTTTCCTAGTTATAACTTTTGAGAACAATTTCTTGAGAGATGTTTTGGGAGTTGTATTCCGGAACATATTATCATCATGGTCTTCCCCGGTAGGATGAATAAATGATCTTGCCTTAAGAGTTGCATTGAATTTTCTGGTTTCAATAGAAAGGATAAATATTCCACTTAAAAAAGCTGCAGGAGTAGACTTTAAGCCTGGGGATGACACACCTGGGAGTGACCAAAGGAAAAAGACTGATTCTCACAGGACACACTGAGGAATGAGAATGAGTTGTTACCAGTTACTTGCTGCTGGTGACTCTCCTGAGCATTTGGGAGGGAAGGGCATTGGCAGAGTTAATAAACCTTTTCTGAGAAAGGAAAGAAGAGCTTCACAAGTACTGAATGGGAACTTGGATATCAATGAAAGATGGGCCAGGGTAGCTTGGCCCTCCATCTAGGAGTGCTGCCAACTCTTTCTCTGTGTGGCTGACTCTGTTTCAGAGACTGTACTTTTCACCTAGAAAGTGTCTTCCGGTCAGTTACACTGTGGCAATCAACTGACAAGTGACCACAATGCAGTATATGTGCTTTGCAACTGATGGAATGAGCACGGGTGTTATGAAGCCACAAGGAAGAGAAGGGGAAAGAAAGGTGCGGGACAAGAAGCAACATTAGAGTTGGGACTTTGTCAGGTGGAAAAAGGTATGAGTGTGTCTACATGGGGGAAGAAAAAATAAATTTAAGTAACAAATAACACAAGACATGGAGGTGATCAAGGGCACAGATGTAGTCAGGAAATGGCATAGAAAACTGGAATTCATGAGG